CAGTCGGGTATAGAGAGCTATCAGCTATTGGTAGCGACTTATGAAATATGAAACATTACTAAACATGTGAGCACCGTTTAAAATGAAAGTGATGTAGTCGAGAACTTAACGTTTGTCCAAGGACTTATGAAACTTATGTAGTTCACTAACTAAGATTCTTCGATGATAAATTCTTGCATGGATCTATGCTTGCAACAAATGTAAGAAGTTTTATAGTTTCCTGTCCTGTATGTTCCTTCTTACTCCATTTACGTCTTCGAGATATCGATAGTGCATTTTACAGCAGCAGGCAGCAACATTTGGTCATTTGCAAGCTGACGCCCATTCGAGCTAAGGCTCATAATGATATATTGCGAAACTATGCCTATACCGCCGACTACCAAACCTTCTCTATTCACCGTAACAGTATAGTCAAAGTTTTATCTGTTTGGCCACAGCTGAATGTGTCACTACACGAACTTTTAACAAGCTATTCACTCAGTCACAACACTTCATTCACAAACTTTTGGGAGCGGGAGAAACACGGGTTAAGTTTGCCTCTGCTGGCATTGATGGTTCGATCGGTAGTTTGCTGTGTGCGTGGAAACGAAAAACAAACTGAAACGAACTGGTTGACGAGTTATAAAATGTTCCCGCTATCGTGCCATGTGTTCAGTCGTCTCATCGCAGCAACCGACGTTCACACCGGGAAACATTCAGAAAAATTTGTTTCCGACAAAAAGGTTTTTCAAATATTGGTAAAGAAAACGGTCAAGAACCCCTACAGTCTACAGACGAACAGTTGTTCAGTCATGTCTTCAATTTGGAGTAACCATCCATCTGTTGAGAAGTCCTCGACAGTGGAAGGATGCAGTGAGAACCCCACATGCCATGTTCTGCGAGTGAGCGCCCTGCATGATCCCCCGTTCGTCACCCTCACTCGCCAGGCAAACAGTAGCATCACCACCTTCGGCGGCTACCTGTTCGAGATTTGGGAGACCATCGCTGAAAGACTTCACCAACGCTTCGTCATGTTGCCGCCTCCTGAAGGAGGATTCGGCATCCTCTCCAGCAACGGCACGTGGACTGGGGTGGTGGGCCAGCTTACTGATCATCGTGTTGATGTTGCCCTCGTCAGACTCTTCGCCAGGGAAGACAGACGATCCGCAGTGGATCTTATCGATAGTACGCCAGTCTGGGAGTCCAGCTATGGATTTTACGTGCTACGAGATTCAACAGAGACGGCGGCTTTTTCTGTGGAGATGTTTGGGTCTCTTCTTCGACCACTTCACGTGGACGTCTGGTGGTCGCTTCTTGTCACGCTGCTAGTACTCTCGGGTGTACTACGCGTCACGCTACACTTCAGCCACGAGAATGCTGAAGAGAGACGTAACGTCACAGAGCTCGACTGGGGCTCGTGTCTGCTTTATTCCTTCATGGCGATGGTGTCTCAAAGTTGGCCACATACGCCCAAGTCTCTGGCTGCCAGAATCGTTACGATCTTTGCCTGGATGCTGGGAGGAATCATTCTCGTCAGCTATGCAGCCAATTTGATCTCATACGTTACTGCTGGTACGGCACACTGGCCCATCGGAAATCTGCGTGAGTTTGCCGCCCGACCAGACTGGAGACTTGCGATAGAATCCGGCACTGCTGTACTGACTGACTGGAAGACAAGCTCAGATCCCGATAAACGAGAATTGTATCGTAGATTCGAACAGCAAGATCGTGTGATCGTTCTCGACTCTGCCAACGAAACGATGCAGCCCGCTATTGAAGCTCATGTGATGTCACATCTTTCCATCCGTCAACTTCTGTTCTCGGTGGGAGCCGCGGGGTGCCATCTCGTTTCCCTACCTGACGACTCCAGAACCACCGAGAAACACTACCTGGCCGTCGCTAAAGGTCAACCGAAACTTCGCGCAGCCATCGCTCGTCAGCTGCTGAGAATCAAGGAAGCGGGGCTGCTTGCTCGTCTGGAGGCTCATTGGTCTGCCACTGAAGGTATCTGTCATCTTCCTGAACGTGTTGTAGAGCTGGGGATGGGGGAGCTTATGGCACTTCTGATGATAGCTCCACTGGCTGCAGGCGGAAGTCTGGTTATTCTGATACTGGAGTGGATCTGGTTTCTGCGGGCTACCCGAGGGAAGTGGTGCAGTCTTTGGTAAGGTGAGCAAGGGATGAATATTGTATGCATTAGGCATTCACATCATTTCGTTTTAAGGATGTCTGAACGGAGAATAATATAGCGACAGAACACCGTTCGCAAGGAGTCAAGTTCCTGTCCTTTTTTACTCGTATTTTGACGATAACCTATTATTGACCACTGATATGCAGGTGAGGGTGACCTCATCCGGGTTCCACCCCTCCCCCCACCTGCCCCCATCAGCTGCCCGCCCCGGCCCCCCTCCGGTGTCCTGTCCCACCGACCTCGGTCGGGCAGTGAATCGTCAGCCAACGAGCGCTGGCCGGCTTTCAAGCATGACTGGAAGCATCCTGGACCCTTTCATAAAGCGTGGCGATCAGTATCTACACTTTTGAAAAGGGTTTTCAACAGACGTTTGAAGAATGTCTTGCTTTTCTTTTGTGGTTGGTGCTACCAGACATAGCGAGCTTGTTTGAATGAATGCGTTTGGTTCGCCCGAAAAGCTGTATTCCACGTTTAGCCGTATTTCGTTCTGTTCCAGTCCCAGCCCGCTATGACATGGCCCTCAGCTAGTGCAGGGAACTCGACACCGGTCTCGCTGGCAGGGCTCCAGACTGCTGGTGTATTTCGGAGGCTGGCCCGCCGCTCCAGCACCCCCCCCGTCCCGTCTCCCTCCCCCAGCTGTGCCGAGTCGGCCGGCCTGGCTTGAGGGTAGAGCAGGAGACGAGGGGAGAGAGGGAGAGAGGAGGAGATGGTCGGCTGGCCCCGAGACCAGAAATGTCCACGCCTGTCGCGGCTGGGCATGAGGCACTGCTGCTGTAAGTTTGAGTCACAGCTTTGGCCGGCTAGAGAGGAAGAGCTGCAGTCTGGGATTTCGGAACGAACCAGATTGATTTTTGGGTGGAATTGAGAAATACTCATAAATCACAACGAGGAACAAAAAGTTTGCGAAACATTAACTTGAAAATTGTGCTGGTCGCAATGCTTTTCAGCAATCGAAAACATCGAGCGGCCAAGTAGAATATTGAATCATTGCATTGCATATAACCGTCGTGCATTTTACACGGTTCATAGGCATTACATTTTCATTGGAATAATCAATTTGAAGGCACAGGTCACTAACGTTGGACATCATTACAGCCTTGGAATTTTCTAGTAAGGCGTTGGGTCTTTCTTCTGGTTATATAACTGAAAGTATAAGTTGCTTTGCTTTAGCATACAGTCATTTATCTGTCACATTTTAGCAACGTGTATCGCCGACAAACAGTATGGCATGAAACAAAATAATTTATCATGACTGGTTTAAGTACTAGAACTTTGTGGAAATGACAGCTGTAGAACTTAATCTCTATGAGATACCAGTGAAAATAGTTAAAGGGACCCTCCCAGCTTCAAAAAGTTAATGAATTGGCATAAAAATGATGCACCGTGGCTCAAAAAGAGCAAAAATAAGTAGCTACCAATTTCACCGAAGATGACACCGGTTTTCAAGATATTATATTTATACCTACTTTTGTTTTTTTGGGGGGCATCCACTGTTCCTACTTCTTATGTCGTCATTTGGAAGCAATAATCTTGCACCCTAAAAGTGTGGCATTTGTTAAGCGCAAAGCAGTATATAGGTGCCACCTTGTTTTACCAAGGTTTTAGTATAATATTTGAAAATTGTTAGATTTGTGCTGACGTCACAAATTTCAAGGGGCATTCAAATGCATGCCCCTTAGAATACGAAAACTGCAGACTTTGAAATTAAATATCTCGGAAGTAATTAGCACTTCTCGATGTTGTGAGTGTCCAAACCGGTACTTTCAAGCCAGGGACCCCAATTTGGCTATCTCAACTCAAAACTAATGTTAAAGTGAGATGGTCACCTTGCATTCCAAACTTACCTTGTCAGACGCATCTCCTACGACTCAATTTTTCCTCACTCAAAAGACAGCCCAATCAATATTCCGAAGCAGTTAAGTTTGCTTTCTCTGAAAACGTATGCAGCGAAGCCGGCTTTTGATGGAAAATAAAATCCGGAACATCTTCACGGAACATGTAACGATTCGAGCTTATTTATCATACTTCTTGAACTGAACCTTGTCATCCAAAAAATATAGTAAGAGGAAGCGTTTTGCCTCATGTTAGCCCTGATATGTAAGTTCTTTTACACACACATCAAATATTTAGAGTGTGTGACGAATAAAGCGCAGATGTGCGCTCTCGTTCTCGCGCGTCCAGAGTGAACACTTGATGCTGCACCGCAGTACACCCCTGTAGTGCGGGTCAGTCTACCGCCCAGGAAAGCCTCGCCTGGGCCTTGTCCAGTCCATGGATTCCTTCTGAACTGTAAAGCATCTCTCTCGGTGGTTTCAGAGGCCGTCAGGGTTCAAAAGCATCACCCATAGACTCTACAAATAATGATTATGTATCGCTTTCATGGTTAAAAGGAAATGATAAACAAGTTTTTGGTGCTTTAAAAAAGTTCCAAGGAAACCTGCTAGTTGCTTTGTATTAATTTTACGCAAATAAAGATAACTGCGAAGAGAAGACCAATCATGCCCCTCTGACCGTCCCCCATATCTCTGTCCTCCCTCTCCGGCCCAGACCTCAGCAGTCAGCCAGCACCTCTCCCTGGCTGTTCCCTGGCAGCTCCGTTGGCATTTCACCCCTGGCTCTTACTCCGGCTCGCGGCCGGCGCATTCTTCCAGCCACACCACCAAAACGGTCACAGCCCGCGGCGCACTAACACCCGCTCTGATTGGTCGCTGCTCCTCCGACCGACCAATCAGCGGCGGCGACACAACGGCCGTCGGTGTCGGCTCAGGTGTCCAGAGGCGAGCAGCGGGGCCGGCCGCCGCCCGGGGCCACAGAACGCACAGGGCGTGAGTCGGTAGCGGAGTGTGTCGTAGCGTGACCTGACCTGACCTGACCGGGCGAGTGAACACCGGTGGTTGTGCCGAAAAGCCTGCTCGAAGCCAGTGGCGGCAGTGGTTTTGTGGTTCGGATGTTTGGTGCATCGGAATGGTTTTGTTACCCCTACCTGCATCTACCCTACCTTACCCATACACTTGCGGTGTTGAACTGTGATCTCTGGAGTCGCATAATTCTGGTAGCATCCTAGCAAGAGGATGAAAGTGTTAATCTCAATGGAAGCAATGCGCTCTAATTTTATCTAAGTGTTGCTCATGTTGATTCAGAAGTCGCGCTTTTATCATTCATGATATTTTCATTTGATTCAGCATCCCTGCTGTCGAGTGAAGCATTAATTCCAGACCTTTGTCCATAGAGAGTCTGCTTTTGTTCGTTATTCAATTGAACGAAGCATTTAGAGTTGTTTTACCGCGTCTTTTATGTCGCCGTCCTGTGACCCTGCATGCCCCTGTTGTCAGTCACCCTGCACCTGCATATGTAGTCTACCCTGACCCCTACCTCGTACCGAAAACCAGCACGAAATACATACCAAATCATCGCGTGTTTGTTTGTCCGTTTACATCGGCATATACTACCGGCCCTAGTGAATGACCCTGTACGACCCCGGCATTGGCCACCCCTGTATGACCCTTGTGACCTTTGTATGACCCCGTGACCCGCGCACGGGGTTCACGGTCCCAGAGCGGGACTGGCCTGCCACGTGTGGCCCGCCACGTGTCCCGTGGCGCCACGTGTTTGTCTACCCTGTCGATGAACAATACACGTCTTGCCGAGAGCTGGACGCCACTGGTGTTTGTTGCCCTGCATGATGATGGTTTTCGTCGCCTGACCTGATGGGGAGGGGGGGCGTTGAGGGAGAAGGGAAGATGAAGGAAGAAACGAAGAACACTGAACAATGAACAAACAATTGTTGGTCTAATCTTGACACACTCGGGAACTAGGGAAACGATCATTATGAAGGCATTGGTAAGCTACAGTCATCCAAATTGTTTAGGAAGACATGGGTAACGTGCTTGTATTGGTTTGTGTTGAAAACAATTATTAATGCGGTTATAGGGTGCCTGCCTGTGAGGCGTAGAGCTGAAGAAGTAAATTACTATTGATGAATTTAAAACGTTATGGTCGTACACACCAAGTGAATGAACACTACTAAGATTAAGCTTAACTTCTCATGTGGCGTTAGTTTTCTTTTGCACTAGCCGTAAAACTAAGTAAGAATAGGCAATAGATTTATTATGTTCGCCTCTTGCGATCTTACAGAGTTGAAGTGACTGATGTTGTAGTATTGACTAAAAAAGGGATTATAAAGAGTGTTGAAATTTATTCAAAGTTAAGGCAAGTTTATCATCGTATCAACGTTACCTAGACTTCAACACAAAGAAGTTGAGGGCATGTTTTTTTTTTGCAACGGTAACAACGAAAATATTGCGTTCTTCATTTAAAGGCTTCTTTTTAATTGTCTCAAAATAAGGAAAATGGCGTTCTAAACATAGGCGCGGTAACCCAGGAGGGGGGGGGGGGGCAGTGGACACAGCTTGCCCCCCTCCCTCGAAATTTAAGGTCGTGAGGGCGGTGCTCCCACACCTTTGAGACGGAATACCGCACTTCTTTTCAAATGTTTTATTTTTTGCTGAAAAAGCCAAGGGATGAAAAATAAGTAGCCTAAAACCGGTGAGAAAACTATATTTGGGGGACCCTAGGTTGATCTCTATTATGTTGTACTCCCCAGTCTGAAAGTAGTTCCCACGCCCCTGGTTCTAAATTAAACGAGGGAAGAGTTGAGATGAAGTATAAAACGTAGATACAGGAATTTAGTTAGGATGATGAACTGCGCGCCGTTTCATTTCTGCTGTACTTTGTGGCCTCTCAGTCGTGCCCTCAGTCGTACGAGATTGGGTAAGAACGCACGACTGAGTAGGAAGGTTGATGGCCAGTATTTTCATGACAAGAACTTTTTAAGAAAACTCCAGTAACTAGCTTGCAATTAAGATTGATATATAAATGGATAGTGACTTAATAATGAAAATGTTAGTAGTGCGCAAATAAAAATAGGAATAAAAGCACTTAGCTTAGCTTCGGTGTCGGAGCTCCAACAAAAAAAGGCAAACAAATAAACAAAAACCAAACAAAATAAGATCACAAACAATCCAAATGAAGTCCAGAAACTGATGGCATTAGGGCGAAGGGCTTTGGACAAAACATCGAAGCGTGACATCTGTGAACAAAGCACGGTATGTAGTAGGTATGTAGGTACTTCGTACTAGGTATGCAGTCAATTATGCAAAGAGAATTATGGATACCTACCATGCTCATTACACATTCTTGGCATGAGCAGGAAACGATCTGCATATTTATATTAAAAGTAAACGTCACTGTGCAAGAAATTCTACCGCAGCCTCCTGTCTGGTGCCTCTGTGGCGTTCTTGGCTTGCGACACCCCATATTTGCCACCGGCAGGGGCCATCCAGGGCAGGCTGCCGGGCCGGGGGCCAAAGGCAACACACGGACCGACAGCGGGCCAGGGTATTTTTGGACAGGGAGGCGCCCAGCGGAAGACGGACCCGCCAGGAAGGGCGAGGGAGACGCTGCTTGTGCATGACGATGCATAGATGTTATCATACCTAAAAAATCAGTAAGATGGAATAAAATGAAGTAAATGTTTTGTAAGGCATTTCACACGAGCACAGCATCTAAAAAATTGCAACTATTTGTAAAAAAAAATTAAGCGATCAAAATGCCTTAGGTGTGTTTGGCTCGACAATACGGATCGACTGATATGCAACATGATCTTTTACGGTCAGGTCATGACATTGACCTGAGGTCAAGAGTTGACATTTCAAGGTCAACTTATAGTTCACTCACGCGTCTCGACGAGAGGGACGCGATGCTAGCAAAAGTTATGTTGTGACTCTCTTGAGTAAGAAATAATTGAAGAAAAACATGTTTCGTAAAAACGGCTATTTTTTAGTTTTTGTCCTTTGGAGGCTAAACCGTTGACATGAGGTCAAATCTCAGGCACATTCCAGAAACAAGGTTAAAAGGGCCATCGAATGCGTTTTTCCGTGGCGCATCAGTTCTATTGGTTTCCGAGTTATGTGCCAATGTTGCGAAAAATGTTGAATAGGTAGCATTTTACCTTTGATGAAGTCCGGTGACCTGACCTTTGACCTGACCTAAAAAATGACCCAGTGTGTTCTTCCATATTTTGGACGTTCTTTCGAATGCCGCTTACCGCATGTCGCTATCTGGCTTAGGAGCGGAGTTAGAAGGGGGTGTTCAACTACCCTCCAGCAGGGTGTGGAAATCCAGGACCCACAGCAGGGCGTGGATTAACAATTTTTTTACGTAATATCCTGCCGAAAGCGAAGTGGTTTGTTCTACCACTCCTCGCCATTTCGCCCCTAAATGAGCCCTAGCGCTTCGAGGGAAGCACGAGCGTCTTTGCTGTGACCACTGACAGCTAGCGACGGTCAAAACATTGTTACAATCTCAGGTTAATCGGTGACCTCAAAGGTCAAATAAGTCATACGAATGTCGGGGCTTCGCTAATTGGTCGGTAGCTTCACAAAACATGGTCAGAAAACAACAATACCGCTGCCAATGCATTAGGAGTTTCAAAGCAAAGTTTGCACTTCCTGTAGTTATTCATTGATTATCGCTTATTGATGATTGATAACAGTATCAGAAACGAGAACAGATTATATGTCGTTCAATGAAAAATTTTGCTTACGGCAATGTCTAAAAATATATTTCTTTGCACGATGTTAATGATGTAGAATAATCATCAAATGACACCCAGCTGATGAATTCTCTTCAAATTGGAAGAACAAAAGCAGATAAGAAAAAAGCTTGGGGACAGAATGGATATTTAAACGCATCTTTATTGCTTATTCATTAGGAGCAGCGGTCAATTTCGTCGGAGAAGCATTCTCTAACGAAAGCTATCATTTCTGACTTCTATGTTCTCCAATCGGCATCTAGATTTATCGTTTTTAACGTTACCCCGCACATTTTTGTGTCCGCTGCAGGAGAGACCACCTCTCACACCGGAGTTCTAGTCGCCCACGGCCGTCTCGGCATCGTTTCTGTCTGCTCCGTAGCACCGACAACCACCTGCAACCATGGTGATTGAGAAGAAGTACAAGCCCGATGAGGAGCCCGACCCAGAACCGTACCTGTGAGTATCGAGTGCAAAGTATCCGGAGATACTGTCCATCTCTATCTGCTGTCATACGTTATCTGCTGTTAATGTTATGCTATTATTTTTATAGTCATTGCCAATTATTATTAGCCTCGGTCATTGCGCAAGGCCAGAATGCTAAGCTTACGTGTCTCAGAAAAGCAGCAAATATTGTCGAAAAAAGATGGAGTCGCCTTGAGCATGAATAATTAATTTTTTGTCTACCTCGTCAACAGCCTTCGCACTTCCTATTATTCACTAGGACTTTATGACTTTTGTCACCGATACAAAATCACCAATAGCTTGGTAACAAACGTACTACTAAGTACTACGTAGGGACTGCGTAGGTACTACGAGTAGTCCATAAGAACGACAGCACTTCTCGACCCGTTTCTATCTCTCCTCACCACATCTCTCCCCGTCCTTAGGTACGTGTCTCTGGAGCAGAAGAGAATCGACGCCACCAAGCCGTACGACTCGAAGACCGCGTGCTGGGTACCCGACGAAAAGGAGGGCTATGTCCAGGGTAAAATCATCGACGCCTCCAACGACAAGACCACCAAGGTCCAGCTGCCCAACTTTGAGGTCAGTGATGCGACTGCTGGTTAGGGGATGTAGTTTATGGGTCGCTTTTCATGGAAATCAGTGTGTAATGACTGTTTGACGCATTACAGTTATCTTGTTTCATATTTCCTAGTGCAGAATTGGTTTCGGCTACACAATAAATGAGCCATTTTATTAGCGTGCGAAAACGTCAAACATCTTTCAGCATACCTTTCATTTATTATGTTGTATCATTGTAGTGATTTTTTTTTATTCATCATTTTTCCAAGAAAGTTGCTATGGTAGCTTCAAATGCCTCACCTCAGGCATTGCCGGTATGGCAAATATTGCGTCGGACCATTGACCTTTACTAGAACACGTTACATCCACAAGCCGTCAAAGCACATGACTGACCATTTCCCCGTTCTCCCCGTCAACAGGAGAAGGACTTCAAGAAGGACCAGATCTCCCAGGTGAACCCGCCCAAGTATGAGAAGGTCGAGGACATGTCCAACTTGACCTACCTCAACGACGCTTCGGTGCTGCACAACCTGAAACAGCGCTACTACAACAAGCTTATCTACGTGAGTTGGCGGTGGAACTCTTGTGAACGAGGTGTTTCGATGTAGAGTCACCTGGGTCATTCAAACGGTCGATGAGTTTGATCGTGTGATAGGTTGTTTTTAAAACATGTTTTGTTAAAATAGTTTTGTTTCTTTTGTCGACCGAAAAATAACCATAATCTTTAAAGAAAGATATGCATGTACCTGATTTAGACGATGGTTAGTTTTACTGGAAGAATTTGTTCAATCACTAAAATCGAGTAGTTCATCAGAAGACAGCAAACCAAGTGAAGAATGAAAGTAAAGATGTAAAGATGCAAAGCAAATTTAACTTATCAACCTGAGCACGTCGCCGTTGGATCTGACCTCTGCCCCAATAACCCCACCACACACCACACAGCAACTCTGACCTCTGACCCGGCGACCCCATTTCAGACCTACTCGGGCCTGTTTTGCGTTGCCATCAACCCGTACAAGCGTTTCCCCATCTACACTCTGCGTGCCATCAAGATTTACCTGGGCAAGCGGCGTAATGAGGTGCCTCCGCATATCTTCGCCCTGTCGGACGGCGCCTACTCCGACATGATGGCCAGTGAGTAGGAGATTCTTCTATAGTACTGGGCAGACATGTGCATGGATCTGAGTGATGGATCTATGATCTCAGTGGATCTCCAAGCAAAATGCAGGTTAGGATCTATAATCCCACCGGACCCGCGTGAAAATTTTAACCTGGATCTATGATCTCCTAGGATCTGACGAAAAACCAAGAACATGAATCTATGATCTGAGTGGATCCCACCATGCACAACATTTGAAACCAGGTTTCGAAGCGTTTCTATGTCCATAAGTGCCAGAAGACTATGGATTATGACGTCCAATCACATAAAATCTCAATAACAGAACGTTCGTTAGTTGCAACGAATGATTTTCTGGGATTTCTGAGTTGACAAAAAGTAGATGTGGATCTATGATCTCACCGAATCTCAAGCAAAAAAAAAATTAGCATCAGATCTATGATCCCTACGGATCTCTCGATAAATTGAAGAGCTGGATCTATGGATCCGAGATCAGGATCCGTGGGATCAGATTCCAGATCCATTTTCTCGGATCCATGCACATGTCTGGTACTGGGTGTTTGACGGATTTTAGTCGGTCAGGATGTTTCGAACAAGTCGCTTTATTTTTGGTGATATTACTGGAATAGCACGTCTCACTTTCGATGTGCTTTGAAATGCCGATGAGATTATCTAACATCGTGAAATTGTTTGGTATCTTATTCAGCCCCCTTAGAAGCCAGGATGAGTCGAGTTGAGTAGTGGAGAAAAAGCAAACTTGTTAGCACTTTAAATAAACCTCATAGGGGAGATACTAAGTGGATCCGGTTTGGATTGGCTTCCGAAGGGACGGCTGGGGCTAAACTCGAGCTAAATCGGTCACCGGCATTCCTCTTCGGAATTCGCTGTGTCTTTTGATATCGAAGACGTTTGGCGTTAAACTCAAACAAGCAGAAATTATAGCGTATCGTTTTAAAAGAAAATTCACGAAGCACAGTAAATCGCTTAGATGCGGTTTAGTAATCGTGGTGTTCAGTGTTATAAGTTTAGTGCTCACCTACTGAATAGGTAGCTATACAGCAGACGCCTAACTAACGTTCGTACTTTCTCTTTTTCTTCCCAGACGGCCAGAACCAGTCCATTCTCATCACGTAAGTTACCGAACCCTGAGAACCCAGCGAACCAGAAACGGGGCTAAGATGCTTCTCTGATACGCCTAGTCATAATGAAATCCTTGTGTTGAACTTTACTTTCAACTACCAAACGGGTATCGTATCCTCAATATCGACATTCGACATCTCAAAGTCACAACTTGTGCGTATTGATACGCTGTAGCACGCTATACCTAGCATTGTCACCCCAGATATGCCAGCCCCTAAGGAGCCTCTTTCGTTCCCAGCGGTGAGTCTGGCGCTGGAAAGACCGAGAACACAAAGAAGGTCATCACGTACTTTGCCCAGGTCGGAGCCACTGGAAAGAAGAAGGCCCAGGATGACGGCAAGGTGGGTGGCACGCCAGATCACGGTAACATGGAGGAATTTTGAACTTGTGCTTGCAGCGTTATAATCGAGCGTTATTACTGTACGGAAACCGTGTTTTGCTTTCCAGTCAATAAGTGCGATTTTTAAACGGTAGATCGACGTTTTTATTTGATTTTGATAAATGTGCCTCAAGTCGGACTCTCTTTGTCGATTGTGGCTCATTCTCCAAAAGTCCACACGGTGCACTCTGAATATTAATTGACATTGGCCGTTTTTATCCATCTCTTGCAGGGCACTCTGGAGGACCAGATTGTGCAGACCAATCCCGTGCTGGAGGCCTTCGGTAACGCCAAGACCACCCGTAACGACAACTCGTCCCGATTCGTGAGTGCGCCACTACTGTCTACTTGGGCGGCAGCAGTTCTGCGGTTTTTGCTCAAACTTCGCGATTAACATTTGACCGCGAAGTTAAAAATGCTTTCTCACAAGCTGCACAATTTTGTCTGTGCTTTGCTGCTCCTTCACTTCAGTTATGTTACATTTCCATGTCAATTGATTTGTTTCATTCCTTCTACGACACTTTAGATAAATGACGTATAGTTCAACTTTCTTCATGTTCCACTCAGCTTTTGTCACCTCGTTCGTCGCGTTATCAAACCAACCGCTCTAACCACTCCCATCTCTCACCAGGGTAAGTTCATCCGTATCCACTTCGGCCCGCTGGGCAAGCTGGCCGGTGCCGACATCGAGACGTACCTGCTGGAGAAGGCGCGTGTCATCTCTCAGGGAGCCCTGGAGCGCTCCTACCACATCTTCTACCAGCTCATGTCCGACGCCATCCCGGGACTCATCGGTGAGTGTAAAGTGTTGGTTAGTAGAGGGGTTTGGATTGGGTATGTACATTGTTGGTAGTGGTTGTATGATGGGAGGGGTTGTAGACTCATCGGTAAGGGCGCGTGGTCAGTGGTCGGGCTTGATTTGGGCTGGTGGTCAAGCTGTGATGGATGCGCTTATGAGAGAAGGTTTGGTCCGCTTTTGGGAAGACACTGAAATTGTCGTTGAGTTAGCCAGGAAGGGTTCGATTATAATTCCGTTGCGGCCACTTGTGAGGCGAAAACATAATTTTTCAATAGATAAGGATGTCCACGACATAGAATAAAAGGATTTGTGAGGACTGAGGAGGTTTAATATTTTTGCCTGCGTCATGTTGTATAACACGCGTCTGAAACTTGTCCTTTTCCTCATTCAGACCGCATGAACCTGGTCAAGGATATCTACGCCTACCACTACGTCTCGCAGGGCAAGACCACCGTCAACGGCATCGATGATGACGAGGAGATGAAGATGACGGACGTGAGTGATCTTAGGTCGACATCTTCCGAAATCCTCCGGAATCGTCCGCGAAAGAAGTCAATGCCCGTGCTCGCATTAAACCTAGCCGCTTTTTATATGCCAGTTCTGCGTGACTTTTAAGACTCAAAAGCTCGTGATTGATAAAGCAGCCAACTCCTACATACCGACGTCTTTTAAGACTATATAGTTTCCACATTTATCTAATACCCTTACCCTCACGTTTTCAGGAGGCTTTCGACATCCTCAAGTTCTCCCAGACGGAGAAGGACGACATCTACTCCATCGTCGGCGCCGTCATGGTCAGCGGAGAGATGAAGTTCAAGCAGAAGGGTCGCGAGGAGCAGGCTGAGGCTGATGGCACCGCTGTGAGTACATCCAACATGGCCGCGCCCATAGACTGTTCCAATATGACGACCGCAAACTAGTCTGGTCAGAATGCTAAAATAAAGATAGTGCGGGACAAATTGCTTTATTGATCGCAATTAAGCTAGTTCTTATTCTTTAGAATGACAAATGGGTTTATATAGGTGTCGAGATCAAAGATACCAAACGATCATCGTCGTAAAATGATACCTAACTCTACCTTCAGCTCGATCAATGCAAACTGTGCTTAACGTGTCGTACTTTTGCATTTCCTTCTTCTTTTGTTTCCTATTGGACGTCAGTTCGATTTCTCTCCACATCTTTTCGAAATGCTTCGACCATGCCCCCCCCCCCCCTGGGACAAATGTCTCACCATACAAAACGCTGCGCCTTACAGGAGGGTGACATTATCGGCAAACTGCTGGGTATCGACGGCCCCGAGCTGTACAAGAACCTGCTGAAGCCCAGGATCAAGGTCGGCAACGAGTTCGTCACCCAGGGTCGTAACAAGGATCAGGTCAGTGGCCTTCGACATCACAGACAGCGTTGTCCCACGTCGGTGACTTTCTTCGGACTGGATCAACTGCAGCAACTGTTAGATGTTTAGTTGAGGAAAGGAGGTGCTTGGTTCCTTCGAGGAGCCTGCAAGATTTATTCTGCTTGCCATAGACATCATTCATGCTACGTAAGTCCGTAGTATTATCAAACAACCTATTGGAATTCAGTAATTTTATACCTAAGTTTCAGAAAAAAACACGTGAAAGATTCGTTTTCCACTGGCGTAGCCAAGATTCCTCTGTTATGATCGAACCGCATCTCATCTTCTCTGCCAACTAACCTAACGCCCGACCTGACCTGACCTTTCCTGCCTGCCTCCAGGTGTACTACTCCGTGGGTGCCCTGGCCAAGGGCATGTACGATCGTCTCTTCAAGTGGCTCGTGAAGAAGGTCAACGTGACTCTGGACACCAAGCAGAAGCGTGCCTCCTTCATCGGTGTGCTCGACATCTTCGGCTTTGAGATCTTCGACGTAAGTCGCGAGGGTGTCATCTTGAAAGGCAGGGGACTTAGATTTTAGGGCTGAAGTCAATCGGGAATTCGTGGATGACGATGAGGACGTAACGTCAATATCGTAAGGATCGAAGGAGTCCGTGAGATGGCTTGTTCAGTTGAATGTCATTACAATTTTTCCGTATGGTGGCGCTCTGACATAGTGAATATTTGCAAACTACTTTGCAAATGCTTTATTTTTATGCAACATGGCTACATACGTTGAATGAGTTATGCAATCGCGTACTTTTTTCCATATTTCGCCAGATAGTGTCTTGTATTGCACCGTATATTTTGTCATGTGTCGTGAATATGTTACGGTCGTTTTTGTTGAATGTCAATGTCAACAGCAAGATGTCGCCCCGTGTGTACTCTTCCTATTCTGCTTACCCCTATTCGCAGAGCCTCGCCCTGCCGTGTGGATTCCAGAGACCGATCCGTCGCTTTTAAAACTGCCCATGCCATTCCTGTTCTACTAGCACCTGTTCAGAGGACTTTAAATTGCCGTGGTTCCCAGAAGCCCAATCTTTCGCTTTACTCTACGGCCTTCCACCTCGAGCTTCACCATAATTCCTCGCCCTCGCTTTCATCTGTGTTGAACCCAACCCCCCAAACCGGCCTCCGCTTCCCCCTTGCCACCATCATCAGCCAGCTTTCTCGGTTATAGTTCAACGGGTTCGAGCAGCTGTGCATCAACTTCACCAACGAGAAGCTGCAGCAGTTCTTCAACCACCACATGTTCGTACTTGAACAAGAAGAGTACAAACGGGAAGAGATCGACTGGGTGTTCATGGATTTCGGCATGGACTTGCAAGCCTGTATTGATCTGATGGAGAAGGTGAATGAGCTAGGCTGAAAGGCTAGGAGGGTTAGAACTTAGATTAGGTGGAGGACGCCTTTTCTCACTCCGGTCTGCGTTTGGTCGCTGCCTGGTCTCTGTCCGGTCTCTGGTCCAAGAATGCTGGTCTCCGATGGTCCTAGTGGTCCGGATAGCCAGCAGATGACCGAGCCTCCGAATGAGGATGCATGCCTGCTGACTGCGTAGACGCAGAAGCTGCACAAACTCTGCATGGGCATCTTGGCAAAAAAATGTCCGTCCTTTTTCAGCAGCATATAAAGTTTTTGCATCGGCTAGAACTAATGACATATCGGTAGTCTGAGTCGTCTACTAAAATAGACGGTAGTTGTTGTGGAGCTGTCGAATATTCGAGCACATTCAACGCCCGAGAAACGGTGTATTACGGCTGTCAGGAAGCCACGCTGAATTCCTGAAGATTAAGATTTCGGCTCTCTACTTTTGTCGTCTCTGCCGCCCACACCCTAACCCTGACCGCTAACACGCAACCCACTAACCGATTGCAGGTATACACTACGCAACCTCTACAGAAGCAGCTCTACTGTAGTCACTGTGCCGTCCTAGTGTAGACTCGTCGACGTGCTGCATGGTGTGCTCGCTAGTGACTGAATGCTCGTCCGTCTTTTAGTTCAACGGATTCGAGCAGCTGTGCATCAACTTTACCAACGAAAAACTGCAGCAGTTCTTTAACCACCATATGTTCGTACTTGAACAAGAAGAGTACAAGAAAGAGGAAATTAATTGGGTCTTTATGGACTTCGGCATGGACTTGCAAGCCTGTATCGAGCTTATGGAAAAGGTAAAATATCCCTCCAAGTCCCAAAATTATAGTTTGAACTTTATGTTGTGTCGCAGGAGCTTTTCTATCCCTCTTCCGCTTTGCTAAGGGTGCAGGGTCACCATTCAGTGTTATTTATATCGACCCCTCGCCGCCATCAGAAAGAAGTAACTTTTTGCTGAATAAATCGTTTCGATCATTCAAATGTAAAAAAAAGAATCCCAACTAGCTTATCACCGAACGACTCAGAATTCGCTGGCAACAATAGGAAATTAAGAAGCGGCATAACGTTTCCCATTGTTCTGTATAATTCAGTCTTCACATTTGATGGCGCTGATTAACTACATACGAGCTGTCATTACCATAATATAAAAAGGTCCCATACAAAAAGCATGCGTATCACCCACTGCCTGAAGTAGGTCGCAACAATGTTCCTCCGACCAATCGACTTTGATTCGATGTTGTCGCCATCCTATGCCTACCAGCATCTCTGAATGTCTCTTTGGGATACACGACGCGAGATTGTGCACCGTTTGAACTGTTCCCGCTATTGTCGCCCGTCGTTATAGAATGGACTCTCCCATTTAGATACAGCATGTGTACTGTGCTCTTTCGAATGTACCCCTCCCCTGAATGTCACCCCACTATTTAGAGACTGCAACTGTACCCTTCTGATGTACCCCCGCCTGGATTGACCCGTACTGTATCGACCCCAAACCTGATATTGATCAAAATAAGCGTCAATATGCCGAGATCGTCGTTTTCAAAGAAGCCTAGCCTGGATTTATGTGCTCAAGGAGCGCAGCTTTTAATTAAATGCAGTCAGCTACAGCGGGCTATCAGCATGTCTTGTCAAAGCCGGCGCTTAAAGCAGGCGGCAAAAGTTTAGTATGAACCTAAACATGGCTCCTTGAGATTTATTCAGACCAGGCGTGGCTTCTAACTGTGACCTTTAGCTCAGATGTCACCCCAGTAAATGTTATCCCCCTGTAGCCCCAAACGTGCCTCCACGCCCCACCCCAATCTGCACCCCTACTCCCACCATCTTCTACGAAGACAGTGACCCAGCACGACTCCAGCCCCGGGACCGGCATGTTTCGTTCTACCTCTCTTAGTTTCAGTGTGACCGAGCGACGCTACCCTCTACCTCTACCCACCCCGTGAACCCTACCCCCTGGCGGCTGCCTGCACTGCCGCTGGCCACCTGGCGGTGACCGGCGAAACTAACAGTGCGAGCCTCTCCCGCCAGTGTGGCCGAGTCGCCAAGAGATGGCTCTGCCTGTCAGGGCAGCCGCTCCGCGCTACCCTTCTACCCGTGACGTCAGCATGCGCGTGAACCCTAGCGGAGTCCCGATTGGTTGAAGAGTGGAGCGAGGTGCTGTCGGGATCGGAAGTGATCCTGCGGCCAGACAGGTATTTTCACTGGTTATACCGCCACAGCTAATATCTACAGGTGTTTACAGCACTAATGCTGCTTCAAACGATCACGCCTAAGCTTGCGAAAGGTTAATTGTGAAAGGTAATCAAGGTCGTGCTTGTTTGGCTAAAAGCTGCCTCTAGCCACCGGCCATCGCAGTAACGCCAAGTAACGGTAATGAACAAAAGTCGAGGCCATGAGTTCTGACGAGAAAAAAGGTGCAAAAGATGTGGCAACGCTTTTGCCCGCTTTGGTGCTAATTTTGGCAAGCTCATTTTAACCACATCACAAGTGTAAGTAAGTACACTTATTTTATACACTTATTGTACAGGGCATTGCCTAACAAATATAAGAAACATGAGCTAAACTCGAGCTCGCCTTGTCCATTGCACGCTGCATTCATTGCATGACTTTCAGGATGAGTGTATGGACGTGGAATGATGAGAGGGGCGGGTAAGGTCTATTCAACAAACATGCAATATTTGTGCGTCACATCTGCAATGTCTTGTCCTTTCTTGTATCATCTAAAATATGTTTGTTCCTAACTAACGATCTTCTATTGGAGTATTTCTGTGACGCGTAAGTTTGATGGACCAGACGCTTAAATATTTGTCGGTGAATGATTGTCCCTCTATATATTGTCCCTTTGAATTCGTAACTTACATGCAGCACTTGCAAGTAACGTAGACAACAACTTGCCACACAACTTGTTTCACACTTTGCATAATTTTTCGTTTTCTCTGAGTCCCTACACTCTCGATCTTCGTCATCTAACTCTCGCGTGTCTCGCAGCCCATGGGTGTGCTCTCCATCCTCGAGGAGGAGAGTATGTTCCCCAAGGCCACTGACAAGACCTTCGAGGACAAGCTGAAGACCAACCACCTGGGCAAGTCGGCGCTCTTCGTGAAGCCGAAGCCGCCCAAGCCCGGCCAGTCCGAGGCTCACTTCGCCATTGTGCACTACGCCGGAACGGTAAGGGATGAAGGGGAGAGGAGAGTGGAGTGGAAGGAATGATAAGAAACAGACGAGGGATGAAGGGTTTGCCTAACTACATTAGTGTCACAAGAAAGGGAGGTTTGTTGAATTTCGTCAACGAAATGAGTGGTGATAAAGCGATGCATCAAAGTAATTGAAAACATTGGATTTGTGGTGAGTATTTATCATTATATGGTGAGCAATGTCAGCTAAGTAAAATAATAAACGAATGAAAATACGATCATCTACAAGCGTTAACCCGCGCCCGGCTGGGGGTCCTGGATTTCCACGCCCTGCTGGGGGGGGGGGGGTGTTTGAACACCCCCCCCCCCTTGTAACTCGGCTCCTGGGCTACGTAGCGATACGCGGAAGGCGGCGTTCGAAAGAGCGTAAAAAATAATGACGAAATCACTTCGGTCAATTTTTTTGGTCAGGTCAAAGGTCAGGTCACCAGAGGTCATTGAAGGCAAAATTTCGCCGATTTCCAGGTCGAATGTCGAAAATTTCCAAGAAGCCAACGCATAACTCGAGAACCAATAGAGCTACAGCGCCGCGGAAAAGCGCATTCGATAGCCCTATTAAAGCCCTTTCTGAGTAATTCTCTCAGATTTGACCTAACGTCAACGGTTTTGCCTGCAGGGGGCAAAAATTGCAAAAATGGCCGTCGGAAACAGTTTTTCTGCAATAACTTTTGACCCAAGCCTTGTACGAGCTTACTTTTACCGGCATTGTGTTCCTCTCGTCAAGACGCATCGAATGAACTATAAGTTGACCTTGAAAGGTCAACTTGAAAATTTGACCTCTGGTCAAGGTCATGACCTGACCGGAAAGGGTCATGTTGCATATCAGTCGATCCGTATCGTCGAGCTGAACACATCTAAGGCGTTTTCATCGCTCTAGCATGCCTCTATCAAAAGTTATTTGCGAAAAACTGTTAGATACCATTCGTGACCTAAGATGACCTCAGGGCATAAACAAGGGTCACGGACACCATTTTCATGTTCAGTGTGTCTAAACCACTTGTAATTCGGTGTTTGGGAGTGTTTATAATGTCTTTTGTCCAAAAGAGGCGCATTTCAATTTTCTCCCATTGACTTATAATGGGGAGGTCGCAAAATTGACCTGACCTTAGGTCATCGATATCAAAATTCTGAGATATACATTTTGTACATGCTATTGCTCTTAGCAATCGCTGAAAGTTTCGAAGCGATCGGTCACTTGGTGTAGCTATGACAGACATTGAAACTTTTTATGAGGTGAGGTCACTTCAAGTGACCTGGTGACCTGACCTTGAATGACCTTGGTCTGAAATTGATGTACGATAAGGTGTACCAAAAACGGCGCGAGATATTCGCGAAAAACCACAAGGGGGGTGTTCAAACACCCCCCCCCCCCAGCTGGGCGCGGGTTAATGACGATGAAACACTGACACTGACGTTTTTTACGTCACCCTTCCAGGTGGCCTACAACCTGACCGGCTGGCTGGAGAAGAACAAGGATCCGCTGAACGACACTGTTGTCGACCAGTTCAAGAAGGGCAAGAACGCCCTGCTGGTGGAGATCTTCGCCGACCACCCGGGCCAGTCGGCTCCCAAGGAAGAGGGCGGCGGCGGCAAGGGTGAGAGGGCGTGGGAGAGAGTGGGAGGGCAGGGGGCAGGGGAGACATTGGGGAGACGAGAGATAGTGGCGGAGGAGGGAGACTATGTTTCCATGGCACAAGTTAAGCCGATTTTGCAAAATATATTTCCTTCATCATAGCACTTGGGCATCATCTAAAAATGTAAATAACTGTATGTAAATTCAGTGTGGACGTGGGGAGAGAGATTTAGAAGACGTGATGGGGAGAGAGGAGAGATGGCATTGGGGCCAGTAGGGAGATGGTGAACGCGGGGGAGAGAGGAGAGATGGCAGAGAGACGGTGGGGACGTGTTCGGAGAGTGAATGACAGCACTGAGACAGCGAAGTTGATGGGAAGACATGCCGACGTGGAGATTGGGAGACTTACGGAGACGGTTGGGCGACAATGGGGGACGGCGAAAGAGGCTGCGGGGACATTAGGAAGACGCTGTGGATAGCTAGGGATCCTTTGCGGGTAGAACATTGGGGCCAGAGTTAAGGCTGAAACATACTTTTTCCGCATTCAGGAAATCGCATGCGAGAGCCTATTCAAATACATTATAATTCTTCCCGCATCAATCGCATCTGGGAGGTGCGTGCGATTGATGCGAGCGTGCTTCCGTGTATGTATTTGAATAGGCTCTCGCATGCGATTTCCTGACTGCGGAAAGAGTCTGTTTCAGCCCTTAGACAGTTGGATTTTTTTTATTCAGGCTTCCCTCCAACGGGCACTTGTGGCCCAATTATAGGAGGGCTCCTCCTCCTCCTGGCCCTTGTTCTCCCACCCCCCAGGCTACGGCTGAAGTGGGAGCCTACCCCACACCTGGTGACACAGCCGGGGACGACGCCCGCGGAACGGGCGGAACCGGGAATCGAACCCGAAACCCGGCACCGCCCGCACCGCGGGTCGACGCCTTAACCGACTGCGCCACCAGGGCCGCAGATGTGAGATAGCGGGAGATGGCAGGGAGACGACAGGGAGACGTTCAGAGGGCCTGGGAACGTAACTGGGAGACGTGAGGACGATGAGGCTTTGATGGACACGTACTAAGTTGGGACTTGGGACAAAGACCGACGTGTGTGGTTGGGGTCATCCCCTGCTTCGTCGGACCGACTGCGCTACAGAGCTACTTTGGCAAGAGCTATTTCTGGTTTGACATGCTGTGATACGAGCGAGTGAGATCAGATAAATCAGCTACATGCAAGCAAGTTTTGAAATCCGGCTATCAGACTATATTTCGATTCAAAATGTCCGTCAAGACAGCCCATAATCAGCCCAGATTCAGCCCGGATTCAGCCCAGATTCGGGACACCTCCGATCAAGCTGAAACTCGCACACAATGTAGGCCATGACATGCCCAATCCACAGTCCAAGTCATTCGGTGGCACTCCCAGCCGTTTGACCTACAGAGGTCAGCAAAGGTCACGTGGCCCAAATTTGCACAGCAGATTGTGGCCCACCCAGTAGAGCTAGAGCGCTAAAAATGGCACCAATCGACGCGCCAGCATCTAATCTTACTTTCCCAACACGCATTTGACCTCTCAAGGTCATGCGATGACCTAAGGTCATTTGTGGGCTATGTCGAAAATACACTTGCACAGCAGTTTTCGAGTAGATGGATTGACCGAATTCCAAAGCAAAGCACATCATCGGGTAGCCCATAGGCCGTAGTAACTTTCCTTAAAAACCGCTTTTCGATATGTGACCCCGTTTGACCTTGGCAGGTCAAAATGTGCAAATAAACGACACTCAATACGTCGCAGACCGGATTCAGCCCAGATTCGGGACACCTCCGATCAAGCTGAAACTCGCACACAATGTAGGCCATGACATGCCCAATTCACAGTCCAAGTCATTCGGTGGCACTCCCAGCCGTTTGACCTACAGAGGTCAGCAAAGGTCACGTGGCCCAAATTTGCACAGCAGATTGTGGCCCACCCAGTAGAGCTAGAGCGCAAAAAATGGCACCAATCGACTCGCCAGCATCTAATCTTACTTTCCCAACACGCATTTGACCTCTCAAGGTCATGCGATGACCTAAGGTCATTTGTGGGCTATGTCGAAAATACACTTGCACAGCAGTTTTCGAGTACATGGATTGACCGAATTCCAAATCAAAGCACATCATCGGGTAGCCCATAGGCCGTAGTAACTTTCCTTAAAAAGCGCTTTTCGATATGTGACCCCGTTTGACCTTGGCAGGTCAAAATGTGCAAATAAACGACACTCAATACGTCGCAGCCCGGATTCAGCCCAGATTCGGGACACCTCCGATCAAGCTGAAACTCGCACACAATGTAGGCCATGACATGCCCAATTCACAGTCCAAGTCATTTGGTGGCACTCCCAGCCGTTTGACCTACAGAGGTCAGCAAAGGTCACGTGGCCACAATTTGCACAGCAGATTGTGGCCCACCCAGTAGAGCTAGAGCGCTAAAAATGGCACCAATCGACTCGCCAGCATCTAATCTTACTTTCCCAACACGCATTCGACCTCTCAAGGTCATGCGATGACCTAAGGTCATTTGTGGGCTATGTCGAAAATACACTTGCACAGCAGTTTTCGAGTAAATGGATTGACCGAATTCCAAATCAAAGCACATCATCGGGTAGCCCATAGGCCGTAGTAACTTTCCTTAAAAACCGCTTTTCGATATGTGACCCCGTTTGACCTTGGCAGGTCAAAATGTGCAAATAAACGACACTCAATACGTCGCAGCCCGGATTCAGCCCAGATTCGGGACACCTCCGATCAAGCTGAAACTCGCACACAATGTAGGCCATGACATGCTTAATTCACAGTCCAAGTCATTCGGTGGCACTCCCAGCCGTTTGACCTACAGAGGTCAGCAAAGGTCACGTGGCCCAAATTTGCACAGCAGATTGTGGCCCACCCAGCAGAGCTAGAGCGCTAAAAATGGCACCAATCGACTCGCCAGCATCTAATCTTACTTTCCCATCACGCATTTGACCTCTCAAGGTCATGCGATGACCTAAGGTCATTTGTGGGCTATGTCGAAAATACACTTGCACAGCAGTTTTCGAGTAGATGGATTGACCGAATTCCAAATCAAAGCACATCATCGGGTAGCCCATAGGCCGTAGTAACTTTCCTTAAAAACCGCTTTTCGATATGTGACCCTGTTTGCCCTTGGCAGATCAAAATGTGCAAATAAACGACACTCAATACGTCGCAGACCGGATTCAGCCCAGATTCGGGACACCTCCGATCAAGCTGAAACTCGCACACAATGTAGGCCATGACATGCCCAATTCACAGTCCAAGTCATTCGGTGGCACTCCCAGCCGTTTGACCTACAGAGGTCAGCAAAGGTCACGTGGCCCAAATTTGCACAGCAGATTGTGGCCCACCCAGTAGAGCTAGAGCGCTAAAAATGGCACCAATCGACTCGCCAGCATCTAATCTTACTTTCCCAACACGCATTTGACCTCTCAAGGTCATGCGATGACCTAAGGTCATTTGTGGGCTATGTCGAAAATACACTTGCACAGCAGTTTTCGAGTAAATGGATTGACCAAATTCCAAATCAAAGCACATCATCGGGTAGCCCATAGGCCGTAGTAACTTTCCTTAAAAACCGCTTTTCGATATGTGACCCCGTTTGACCTTGGCAGGTCAAAATGTGCAAATAAACGACACTCAATACGTCGCAGCCCGGATTCAGCCCAGATTCGGGACACCTCCGATCAAGCTGAAACTCGCACACAATGTAGGCCATGACATGCTTAATTCACAGTCCAAGTCATTCGGTGGCACTCCCAGCCGTTTGACCTACAGAGGTCAGCAAAGGTCACGTGGCCCAAATTTGCACAGCAGATTGTGGCCCACCCAGTAGAGCTAGAGCGCTAAAAATGGCACCAATCGACTCGCCAGCATCTAATCTTACTTTCCCAACACGCATTTGACCTCTCAAGGTCATGCGATGACCTAAGGTCATTTGTGGGCTATGTCGAAAATACACTTGCACAGCAGTTTTCGAGTAGATGGATTGACCGAATTCCAAATCAAAGCACATCATCGGGTAGCCCATAGGCCGTAGTAACTTTCCTTAAAAACCGCTTTTCGATATGTGACCCCGTTTGCCCTTGGCAGATCAAAATGTGCAAATAAACGACACTCAATACGTCGCAGACCGGATTCAGCCCAGATTCGGGACACCTCCGATCAAGCTGAAACTCGCACACAATGTAGGCCATGACATGCCCAATTCACAGTCCAAGTCATTCGGTGGCACTCCCAGCCGTTTGACCTACAGAGGTCAGCAAAGTTCACGTGGCCCAAATAAGCCTTGATTTTTGTTGCCTTTATATCTTATTGGGGTTTCTATTTGGGTTAAATCGTGTTTTTTTTTTAGCATTTTATTTTCCCTGTACTTACTTTTATGAATTCAGTGTTTTTCCACGCTTGGAATTTGTTTGAGTTCGGATCACCCTGTGCTGTAGATCCATTGACGTCATTATCGTGAGGGTCGCTTTGCTTTTCGTAAATTTTTTTTGACAACACTTTATTAATTCAGCCTAGGCATGTAGGCATGTCATGGCCTACATTGTGTGCGAGTTTCAGCTTGATCGGAGGTGTCCCGAATCTGGGCTGAATCCGGGCTGCGACGTATTGAGTGTCGTTTATTTGCACATTTTGACCTGCCAAGGTCAAACGGGGTCACATATCGAAAAGCGGTTTTTAAGGAAAGTTACTACGGCCTATGGGCTACCCGATGATGTGCTTTGATTTGGAATTCGGTCAATCCATCTACTCGAAAACTGCTGTGCAAGTGTATTTTCGACATAGCCCACAAATGACCTTAGGTCATCGCATGACCTTGAGAGGTCAAATGACTGTTGGGAAAGTAAGATTAGATGCTGGCGAGTCGATTGGTGCCATTTTTAGCGCTCTAGCTCTACTGGGTGGGCCACAATCTGCTGTGCAAATTTGGGCCACGTGACCTTTGCTGACCTCTGTAGGTCAAACGGCTGGGAGT